AACATGTTTTTTATAGACGGTAGCGCGAAAACGGTTTTACCGATTCTGATGTAATTTTCCTATAATGTTCCCATTATAAAAAAAAAAATCATCTGAATTGAATCAGTATTAGCGATGATCCTGCTATTCAATTTCTAATGTATGATTACTGCTACATATCCTGGTGTCAGGAAGGGGTGAATGAGAGAGAAATGATAACTAAGTGAAAATAAGAAAATCTGTTGCCCGCATCACACAAGCCTCATTTTTTCTCTACTTTTAACAGAAATTATTGTTTTAAAAAATTAAGCTATGTCAAAGAGCTTTTGATCAACAATATTAGAAGGTATAGACATGTTTACACTGATCTACCTTAAGCCTGTTTACATTGCTTTAGTTTATCAAGTAAATCGTACTCAAATCTTATCTCTGATCAATTCTCAGGAAAATAAATCTAATTAATTTTTTTTACTGTCACTTACTTCTATATATGCAATACATATTAAGGGTAAGTATTACGATCGTGGAAATTTTTGAATCTGAGTTTTCAGCGGAAATACACGTTTTGAGGTCCCCAAATACAAATAAACAAGTTCCGCAAAATGGTCTGTGTGTATGTGAACAGTTTAGCTCAAAAAGGAAAAGTCGTACGGTAGTGAAATTGCATATTTAAGGTTTTTATATACTAGGGATGTTACAGCAACTTTTCGTCAAAATCGGCTAACCGAAAGTGCCACTTTATATAATGGACCCAACACATTTTTACGATTTTCTCGAAAACGGCTCTAACGATTTTGGTTAAATTCATCATATGAGTGTAAAATTTAGCATTTTAAAATAAAATATGGTTATTATTCTGATTAAAGTTCTCTAACATTGCTAATTAAATGGCTAATTTTCAATATTAGCTTTCTCTAGAGGACCTTTAATTTTCTTTAATTGAAACAATTGACCGTTTCAAATTAATTTCAAATATCTGAAATGGGTAAGTATAAAATATGAATGAATTTGATAAATAACTAAAGGAGAAATAAGAGATCGTAACGGAGAATAGTTGTAATTGAGGAACCAAAGGAATACGAGCTCGCCCGAAAGATTAGATCACGCCTCCATGCGTAACATGAGATTAATATAATAAGGACTCCGACAATATTATATAAATATACATATGCGGTTTTCATAGATGCTATTGTTGGTATTATTTAATATTTAATTGTATAGATTACTGCGATATAAATATTAAAATTTGTATATATGAGGGTACTTATACAAATAAAAATACACACAATGAAATATAAACTAATAAAGAGCCTATAATACTTTCACTTCCCCTTTGTCTGAAAATACTTATTTCTGCTAAGAAGGGGGTGGTAACTGAAAGTTGTGTGATACGCGCATCTTACCAGATTTTATTTCTTGACGGGCATATGTAAAGATATAACAAATTTTCAGAAATAGGTAGGAAAGTCATGTGAGTGGACACACCAGATTTTTTTTATACACACCATCATTTTAAGTTACGTAGATTTTTTTTTTTTTTTTTTTTTTTTTTTTGTTTGTCTTGGTCAGAGCAAATTACGTATTATTTAGGGCAGGAAATAAGGGTTATTGAATAGAGATTTAAGAAAAAAAAAATCCCACAAAAGGAAGAATCTTTTGACAAAGGCTAAACATTCATCTCGAATTCATTTACCGGAGGGAATTGAACTACTTGACTTTGGGTAATCCTAAAAGTTTGCAGACCCTCAGGATCGAGCCCAACGGAATACAAATGGCCTCCTGATGGACTCAGGGACAATAGGCCGCTAACAAGGGGTTCTTAATCAGGAAGTAGGGATCCTGCGGAGGACAAAGGTAAGCAAATCGTCAAAAGACTACAATGGCTTCTCGCCGCCCTTCCGCGTTAAAGTTTCAATCCTTTTTTTCAACTTGGATGGGGGGAGGGGAATTCCTCCGAAAAGGGAAAATCTTATTCAACAGCTTCTAAAGGTTAATTAATTAAATCTGTTTACGATTCTCAATTAACCGGATTGCGGCTCCATCAACAAGGTGCAGCCTCATCATAATAGTGCACAACCGTGTACCGAGCCGCACCGCAGTTAATCCAGTTAATAAAAATAATAATAATATTTAAAGTGTTGACAAATAAAATAATAAAAGGCTTAGCGAACCCAAAGGTTCGATGCCGACACCAACAATCGCTTATTACACACCTCCCTCCGCCGTTCGCCGTCCAGACCTAGTCCTTTCAGATCGGCTTTAATGCAATCTTCCCACTTTGATTTGAGATCAAATTGTTTATCGAAAACGATTATTAACTTATTTGAAATTATATCATGTGATCATATTTTATGAAAATTAATTGTTAATATTAAAAAAAAATAAAAATGTATGTATGAAAAAGATAGTTTAACTAAAAAAATAATTACGGAAATCGGGAAATTGTATCCACCCTGAAGGAATGTATCAATAAAATAAATAAATAATAATGAAAGGCTTAGCGAACCCAAAGGTTCGATGCCGACCCCACCAATCGCCAATTACACACCTCCCTCCACCGTTCGTCGTCCAGACCTAACTCCTTCAGATCGACTTTAATGCAATCTTCCCACCTTCGCTTCGGCTTACCCCTCCGACGTTTACCATTCGGTACAGCTAATATTAACCTTTTAGGAATTCTCTCGTTACTAAGACCAATTTTACAGGACTTTAAGACGCTGCCCATCCCTTAATGTAAGCGGCCAAGTTTCGCATCCAAAAAGAACTGTAGGCAAGATAATTGTTTTATAGATTATAATTTTTAAGTTCCGAGACAAGAGGCGCGAACTGAGTAGTTTTGTCAAGGAAAATTAACAAGCGTTTCCCGCCTTCAGTCTAACTTTAATCTTTTCTTCAATTTCGTTTTTTCTAGTTATCGTAGAACCTAGATACCTAAACTTCTCCACCTGTTCAAACATATTACCATCTATATCGATATCACCAGTAATATCCCCATTTTTGCAACTAACCATATATTTTGTGTTATCCGTGTTTATTTCGAGCCCTAGTTCTTTAGTGGCATTCATTAACGTGTCGTATTTAGTTTTTTAGTTTCCATGTCTTCGCTTAATAAGTACCAGATAGCATAGCCCAGCACTACTTAATAAAAATAACCCACTGCTGCCAAAATCCCATATGGCAACAATGCCAGGTAGGGCGAAAAAAAAAAATACGACCTGGCTCATGTTCGTGGAAAATATGTTGGGCTATATCGAAGGAACTTGTGCATAGTTTGTTTGTTCCTGAAGCCTCGCTTTCCCACCACATGTGGGGGGACAAGTCTGGTTCGGAGTTCCCATGGCCGGCTGTAAATAGTGTAAATAGGTCTAAGATAATAATCATGATAAGTAAATGCCTTAGTCTAAGATGTTTATTTTCATTAATTTTTCGTTAAAGATAAGTTTAATTCTATTTTCTTCATTAATTTTTATTCTATTTCATTACTATTATTTATATTTTCTTCCATCACTACGATATTTTATTTTGTTCTTATTTAGCTTTATATCATTTGAAAATCCCTTTTTTTTTTTTGGAATTTGTAAATATGGTGTGAATGCGCTCTCAGAACTCTATTATCAATTTCCTTTATTGAGACAGATTGTAATATTTATCAATAAACAAATAATCCAGTAATTTAAAAGTTTGTTTGTTAAGTGAAAAATCATATCGAGAAAAAAAAAATGGTGCGCGCTTCACACGACTTTCTCTTTCCACCCTCTTCTTAGCAGAAATACGTATTTTCAGAGAAAGGGGAAGTGAAAGTAAAAATCATTGACACTATATTTATTTACAATTCATTGTGGGTATTTTTATTTGATTAAATACCCTTATATATACAAATTTCAAATTTTTATATCCCTGTATTCTATACAATTGAATATTAAATAAAACCAACGATAGCATTTACTAAAACCGCATATGTATATGTACATAATATTGTCGGAGTCCTTATTATATTAAGCTCATGTTACGTATAGAAGTCTGTTATAATCTTTCTTTGTCTTCAATTTATTTCTGCAAATCCTCGAAATCGACTTATAAAATTATAATTGATCTAACTTTTGAACCGTTGAAGATAGACCAGTAAAATAATATATATTCATGATGAAAATTAAATTATTAAAAATTTTCTTCACGACGACTTAATCATAGAACAGAGCAATTAAGTGTTGGCTAATCAAATACAGTAAAAAAAAACATGAGGTAATTTTTTTTCTACATTAGCGATAGTTTAGGACCGATATCTCGAAAAAAAAAGAAAGCGAAAAAAAGGTATATAATCAATCATATTGCAAATTTTATCTGCTTTAATTTTTTTGTCGGTGAAATGGATAGTTTTCTTGATATAAGCGAAAACCTAAAAAAAGTGTCCTTCTAAGCGTCCGTCATTCTACAGTAAAATTTTTGACCGCTGGATTTTGAGGTTTCTAGTTTTTTAATTTTTGGTCGATCACAATGTTTCATTATTGAAAATAATAAATCAACATGTGGTAAAAACTCCAATTTAAAAAAAGTAATTTTATTGATCTATTTGGAAGATATATAGTATCTATACAGACAGTAAGTTGATTCTATGGGTGATCGCATCGTCGAAATATAGAACTGTGAATGAATATATTAATTTTCCAACGAGAAGTATCATTAAAATTAATAATAAAAAATGTTGAAATTGGAATTAGCCACTCTGTCAACTAAAAGGCTCAAATAAATGTTTATGCCCCTCCTACCTATCGAATATATCAAAGCTTATATCGCATATATCTTCTAAGCAATTAATACAGTTATAAACATTTTTTTTCAACCGATATAAATTGTTAAATAATAATGCCTGGGTTACATTATTTACAAACTAGGCCGATATTTGACACAGCCACTGGGATAACACACGGCAGTCGAAATGAGACATATTTATTGGCTCCGATATCGCCGTTGCAATAGCTCCGCCCTTATTGGATCTATATTGGACCAATGTGATTTAGAGATTAACTCCTCGCCGGAGACACCGCATCTGATTGGCCAATAGTCCGGCCCTGCTGATGTATGGCTCCGCTCTTGGCACTGACAGCCCAAGGGTTTTTATCCGCCATTCCGAGATCTCTCTGTAAATTTGTTTCTATTTCTTTCTTCTGTCCTTGAGTGAAGCATTGTCTAGTCCTCCTTTGTTTTGTTGCTTTGTCTAATAGAACTAAAGAACAATTCATTATGAGATAAAAAAAAAAATGCTATTCCAACCTTAAGTGTGGATAATCATTGATTCTCATATAGGTTAATAGTATTGCGAATTCAATTGAAGTTCCTTAAGATGCACACCTGGCAGAGAAGATGTTCGTACATCAACGCTAGGCCGATTTCTGTGATTATTTTCTGAATCTGTACGAAGGAGTTTCTTATATCTCAAATACTTAATGCACTTGATTGAGGAAAAATGTATTTTTTCTCAATAAAATAAAAAAATTCTGAAATAAAGCTTTTTATTATTATCATATCGTTCTATTAACTTTTTTTAACAATTCAGCATAATTTTGGCTGGTGCTTTTTTAATCCGATTTAAAATTCACTACATTTTCTAAATTTTTTATATAAGATTATTTTGTATAAAGCCCTTATTTAATCTCACAGTGCATACTTACAATTTTAAATATTAATATATTATTTTTTAACGGTGGACTCCAAGGGCGATTTTCAAAAATTCTTTTACTTTTTTAAAAAACAGCAAAACAAAACATTAAAATTATATTATTACTATTTTTTTTTTTTAAAATGTATCTATACGTATACTACTACTCTATGGTAGTACTTGTTTTATTTCTTATAAAATGTTTTGATTTCCTTTTTCTTCCAAAAATCTACAAATATTTTCCTTTTTTTTTTTTTTCATTTCCATAACCTTGCTCCTGTAATTTAACACTACTCTTTAATGTAAAATAAAAAAAAAGCAAATATTCTTTTATAAAAAACAAAGACACCATTTCATTTTACACCTGTTTTGGGCAACATTTGTTTCATTACTAGACGAAAATAACAATTACAAAATGAAAATGAGAAATAAATAAGTTTTTATATTAATTTCTTTTCTCTCTATTATCCTCATCTTAACTTATCTGTGCTGTATTCTAGACTGACTCACTGCACATACTGTGGTTCCTCGAATGTGTTCAATTTCTATTTATTCTTATTATCATGTATTAGGATTAATCCTATTTATTTAACTTTTTTAACAATTCAGCATAATTTTGGCTTATGCTCTTTGAATTCGATTTAAAATTCACTGCATATTCTAAATTTTCTGTAATATTTATTGCTTCAAGAATTTTTCTTCTTCTAAAACTTTTTTTTTTCATTATATATAATTTCTACATCTTCGAAATCGAATCTGTGTCATTTCTCTACACTATGTTGAATTAATGCCGTTTTTAAAATTATTTTTTGGATTTATTTTATTTTTGTAGAAAATATGTTGATATATTTTGTCCTTTATAAACTCTCCTGATTTTCCATAATATATCGCTGGCAGTCCAAACAATTGATTTTGTACAGTACTCCTTCATTTTTGTTCCTGTCTATGTTATCTTCCATATTATTTATTAAATCAACACTGTAAGTGTGGATAATCATTGATTCTCATATAGGTTTATAGTATTATGAATTCCAATTACGTTCCATAAGGTTATACTTTAAGGTACTGGCAGGTTATAACTTTCATAGAGTGGTGTTGTATGGATTTAAGAAAAATAAATTTGTGAAATTACCCTTAGATATGTTTTTTTTTTTTTTTATAAAATATTAGGCCAAAGGTTACCAAATGTACACAGTTTTTACATCTTGTATTATTTATTCGACGTTTCGGCTTCAGGAGCCATTTTCAAGATCCTGCAAACATGCACCGCTTCATAAAATTCCTAATTTAACAAATTAATCTATCATTATAATATAATTCGTCTTTTAGTCATTCTTTTATTTCATCAAATACCGTTTTTTCATTTATGTTTCTCAGGCGATATTAAAAATGTTTCTCCTCACTAACACATTCATACAGGACTATAAGAGAAGTGAAAAAATGACATTCGATGAAATAAAAGAATGACTTAAAGACGAATTATATTATAATGATAAATTTTAGAAATTTTATGAAGCGGTGCATGCTTGCAGGATCTTGAAAATGGCTCCTGAAACCGAAAAGTCGAATAAATAATACAGGATCTAAAAACTGTGTCTAATATTTTTATAAAAAACTTATGAGAAAATGGCACCGAACCTGAATGATATGACTAGAAACTTAGATATGTATTTCATTTTTCCTCCTACCTGAACTATTTAACGATCTTTAAATTATTGTGTAATCTTCTGAGAAAACTTTTTATTAATATCTCATAATATTAATTAATATACAAAGAGGTCCATTCATAACTTCATGTCCTACCTTCATGTTTTTTTGGAAAGGAAATATGTATTATTTATCAAAGGGAATAAACGAATAAATGATTTAAGGGATAAACTTTGAGTTTTAGTAATGTTTGGTATTAGAAAGAGAGCTATGGTGGGATGGAGGGCAATAATTCAGGTAAAATTCGTGACTTGCCTCTCCACTAGGCATTGCGAGGGCTAAATAAAATATTTCTACAGCCCCACTCCTTCTTCTTGCACAGGGCTTCTTATGATCAACTCATTTTTTATTTCATTTATTTAATTTATTTATTTATGACTGATGAAATTACTTCATATTAATTAAATTTCGCTATAGAATCTTCATTATTCAATTTTGGCAATAGCGACTCATATATATGACAATAATAAGACCTATTTGGACTTACGGAATTGAGCTTTGGTGCTCCACTAAACCTTCGAATTCCTCTCGTATACATTCCTTACAATCCAAAATCCTCAACGCTCCTTACTTTGTCACGAATAAAATCATCCATAAAGACCTTAATGTTCCATATGTTTCTGATTTGGCCCTATCCAGATACCTATCCTTCCATAAAAAACTGCAGAACCATCCGAATCCTCTCGTTTCAAACATGCTTCCTCCTCAATCCCTGATAACCCTCCGAGGCGTCTGAAAAGAAGATGTCCTCGTGACCTTCTAATATAGAACTTTAATTTGAGTTCTACCAATGGGTAATTTTTCATTATGTTGTACATGTCATGTTACCAATGTCAAATTTACTTATTGTATTTTCTATGTAATACAGTTTTAAATTTCATTAAAATAAAAAGAAATAAATAAAAAAACTTCGGCAATCCTCCGAGGCGTCTGAAAAGAAGATGGCCTCGTGATCTCCTTATATAGACATATTATTAGAGTGCTACCTGTGGGTAGTTTTCAACAAGCTTTTTCAAGTGATTATATTTACTTGATGTATGTATATTGTAATACAGTTATAAATGTCTTGAACAAATAGTTAAAAACATAAAAATAACTTCGGCAAAGCTTCAAGAAGGGTAATTCAACTTTCTTCTTCAAGTTCGATGGCTCAAATTATTCAGTGAAATCCCTTGAGTGTTTAAAACTATTTGAGCTAAATATACTGGAGAATGATTTATAGTTTCAAAAGAACTATATAACAGAGTCAATATCTTCAAATTATCGATTTGCCAACTCATGAAATCATTTGAGTTTTGAAACCTCTCAATTTTTTATTGTACTTACAAATGGTATCTCGAAGAATGTATAAAAGCCTTTATAGTTTAACAACTTTTTGAAGTGAAAACTTCTTTAAACGGGTTTTTCACTTTTTTGTAGAGAATGAATTAGATTGATCCGTCAGATTTCCGATGTATTAATGTACGGATAAATTCGACTAGAGTCGAATAATTCAAATGTTTTTACGTATGGTTTAAAATAACCCAGAAACTCGAAATCGGGCCTGCTTACTGTATGTGAGTAAATTGTTCAGCATTTCATTCTCGACATAAATATTATAGAATCGTTGCGTACGTTATAAACAAGTAAATATCACTAATTTAAATAAGTAAATTGTAAATCATAAAGGACATTTTTAGATTGACTTTGCTTTATTGATGTCTATATTTTTTGCGATAGAACTTTGTTATAAACTTTAAAAATTTCTTATTTAACGAAATTAAACTAACTAACCCTAACTACAATACACCTAGAATACATGGATTAATAAAGTTACTTAAAATTGGCGCTCCACCTATAGGTATCATCAGTAATATCAATGGGTGAACTGAAAATTTGGCTAAATATCTCAATTCCACTTTCATTAAACTAAAATAAGGTAGTAACAATGATGTTGAAAACGCATTGGAGGTAAACCAAATGCTTGAAAGAATAAATAAAATAAACAATAGGTAAATATTGTTTGGTCTGTTTTCATGTGGAAAATTTATTTACCAATATCACCTGGAAAGATGTAATAAAAATAATTAAAAAATATTGGGATACAAAATATATACAAAGAACCGCTTACCTAAATTAAAAGGTTTTATGGCAGATGTGGATTAAAATATCTTAGAAGCTAAAAATCAAACCATCATACTGTAAGCGAGGGAATTGTTCAACATTTCATCCTCTTTATAATGAGCTTTTATAATTTATATTTCATATTATTAATCTGTTGTTATCACATATATCGTGCGGTCTAAAGCACACATCTTAGTTTTTTTTTTTTTATATCGACATTTAGGGCAGTCCGCTCATTTTCAAGTAATCAAAACTCCATAATTTCGAAATATTTCAATTATATTATTCTATTATATCTTATTTCTGGTTTACAACAATGTAAATTATCATGTTCCATTTTGTTAAATATTGTAGAAGCTAGTCATATACCATTTGGTTCTCTTACTATTGTTTAATAATGACTGGAGTTCATTTATCCTTATTATTGTTTTATCCTTGGAGTCACCATTTATTAGTACATTAAGTGTCCTTGGAAAACTTCTACCAAAATAACTAAATATACTTTTATTGTATGAAAGTATAAAATTTCTTTTCGTTTGATATATCTTCGAGCAAAAGTCATCCATGTTGAGAGTTGGAAAAACTATAATTCCGTATTGTATTGGGTTGGGAAATAAGTCCTTTCGGGTTTTCTGTTTATTTTAATGTCACTATGATACACTTCTTATTTGATGAATTAATCCTTAAGGTGGATTGTTTATCCTGTTTGTAATATGTCTAAAACTATATCTGTTAACTGTTGTTGAAAC